GCCCAGGCAGGTCTTGAACCCGCGAGCTCAGGCAATCCACTCACCTCAGCCTCCCAAGGTACAGGATTACAGGCTGAGCCACCGAGCCCAGCTATGAATCCTTTTTATAGTACAATTTTCTTACCTGTAGTTTCTACATTATACATTAGATCGCTAGACTTGTTTATCCTACATATTGCTATTCTATATCTTCTGACCTATATCTCTCCATATGCTACTCCTGTCAGTTGTTTTTTCTCTATCTCTGTATATTTGAATTTTTAAAAATATTTTACATATACAAATGAAACCATGCAATGTTTTTCTTTCTGTATCTAGCTTATTTCACTTAGCATAACACTCTTCATGCTCATCCATGTTGTGGCAGATGGCAAGGTCTCATTCCTTTTTTATTTATTTATTTTTGAGTTGGAGTCTCACTCTGTCACCCAGACTGGAGTGCAGTGGCCGCTCCCGGCCACCGCAGCCTCGACCTGCTGGGCTCCGGCGAGCCCTCCGCCTCAGCCTTCCAAGTAGCCGGAATTACAGGCATGTGCTACCACGCCCGGCTGATTTTTTGATTTATTGTAGAGATGAGGTCTTGCTGCCCAGGCGGGTCTTGAACCCGCGGGCTCAGGCAGTCCACTCACTTCAGCCTCCCAAAGGCGCAGGATTACAGGCTGAGCCACCGAGCCCGGCTGGTCTCATTCTTTTTTTTTGATTCGGACTCTCATTCTGTTGCCCAGGCTAGAGTGCACGTTCTAGTAGCTAGAACTACAGACGTGCACCACCACACCCAGCTGACTTTTCTTTATTTATTATAGAGACAAAGTCTCACCATGTTGCCCAGGCTGGTCTCAAACCCACAGGCTCAGCCAATCCTCTCGCCTCCACCTCCCAAAGTGCTGGGATTTCAGGCTGAACCACTGTGCCTGGCTTGATCTTGTTCTTTTTTAGGACTGGATAATATTCCTTACATATGCATGCATTATAGTTTTACAGTTTTTTATCTACTCATCTGTCAACATCCAGTTAGGTTGTTTCCATATCTTAGCTATTGTGAATAATGCTGCAGTGAACATAGGAGTGGAGGTGGTGATTTTATGTCCTTTGGCTATTCACCCAGAAGAGAGATTGCTGGGTTGTATGGTAGTTCTGTTTTTACTTTGTTTAGAACTTCCCTATGGCTTCCCTTAGTGACTCTACCAGTCTACATTCCCCCCAACAGTCAACAAGAGTTCACTTTTTTGACAAAGGTGTTGCTTTGTGGCCCAGGCTAGAGTGTAGTCAGTGGTACAATCGTAGCTCACTGCAGCCTCAAACTCCTGGGCTGAAGTGATCTTCCTACCTTCATCTCTCAAGTAGCTGGGGCTACAGGCATGCTCCACTATGCCCAGCTAATTTTTTTATTTTTTGTAGAGACAGAGTCTCATTGTATTGGCCTAGGTTGATCTCAAACTCCAAAACTCAACTAATCTTCCTGCCTCTGCATCCCAAAGTGCTCGGATTATAGGTGTGAGCCACTGCACCTGGCCCAAGAGTTTACTTTTTTCTACAACTAGGCACATTTTAAAATACATTCACTTGAGTTTTAACTATACACACATGACAGTAATCTTTAACTTCTAAAACTTTTTAGTACACTTTTAATAGTCCTAGATGTGTGTCTATTCTGTGCCAAGTGTGAATGTCTTCTGAATGTACCACAAAAGTAGGTTCTGTTGCCCAAAGAGCTTTCTTTTTTTTTCTTTTTTCTTTTTTTCCTGAGTTGGAGTCTCACTCTGTCACCCAGGCTGGAGTGCAGTGGCACGCTCATGGCCACCGCCACCTTGAACAGCTGGGCTCAGATGAGCCTTCCGCCTCAGCCTTCCAAATAGCTGGAACTACATCACGCCCAGCTAATTAAAGAGTTTTCCTAATAGACAATATATATATATATTTGAGTTGTTTCATTTCAAAAAAAATTTATTGTTTCATTTCTAGAGGTCTGACATCCAAAAGCAAAGTGTTGGCAGGCCCATCCCTCTGAAGGCACTAGGGAAGGATCTATTCCAATCCTTCCAGCTTCTGGTGGCTCCTTAGCTTGTGGCAGTTTTCACATGAAATTCTCACTGTGTGCCTGTCTGTGTCCTGATTCCTCCTTTAATTGGGACACCAGTCATATTGGATTGGGGGGCCACCCTGTTTCAGTATGACTTCATCTTAACTAATTATATCTGCAATGAACCTCTTTCCAAGTAAGGTCACATTCTGATGCAGTAGGGACTAGGACTTGAATGTATGAATTCTGGGAGGACATTTCAACCTGTAAGACCTACTTAGTTTTATACCTTAATTGTATTATATGAATGCCATTCATGTACAACAACTACTTTAATGATTAAAATCTTGTACATAGTCCCAGCTACTCTGGAGGCTGAGGCAAGAGGATTGGTTGAGACCAGGAGTTTGAGCCTGCAGACTGCTTTGATTGTGCCTGTTTCTAGCCACTGCACTTCAGCTTGGGCAACATCAGAATCCTAGGGACAGAAAGTAGAATGGTGATTGTCAGGGCCTGCAGGAAAGTGGAGATTGTTTAATAGGTGTAGAGCTTCAGTTTGAATATATGAAATGAGTTCTGGAGATGAGTGATGGTGATAATGGTGATGATTGCTCAGTATGAATATACTTAACACTAGTGAACTATATACTTGAAAAGTGTTAAGATGGAATATGTTATCACAATAAAAAATTGAAAAAAGTAAATTAAACTGTTATATGTATGTATGTGTGTATAGATACATATTTCAGTAGTAAGAAAAGGAATAAAAATTGATGGGACAAAATGTCCTTTAGATGACAGTTTTTAACATATGCCTTTGGAGTAGAGGGGGCTTTATCACTTGGAGTTAGAACTTTAAGTTCAGGTAGACAGTAATAGAAACTTGACATTGGTACAGCACAATATTGATAGTAATCTAAATATCTACCTATAGAGAACTGATGTCAATAAATTTAGGAACTTCTGTTCTTAGAAGGTAGCTTTAGTCCTAATAAGGAACGATTACAAGAAACATTAACAGAAAAAAGATGCAGAACAGTATATAGTGTGCTTTCATTTGTGGGGAGAGTATCTATGTAGATGTCATATAGCCATAGAGTATCTCTAAAAGGACATGTAAGAAATACTGTTTACCCTATTTTACCTTTTCATCTCATATGACTATGTTACCTATCAAATAAATAATCGAAATTTTTCTTGCTTTTTTTTTTTTTTTTTTGAGTTGGAGTCCCACTCTGTCA